CAAATACGAACATTACACCTGTATCTTCAAGTACAATAGCAATTGGCTATATTATGACGGTCTTTGTAACGAAGGCAAACCATCTCTTTTTACGAATTTCCCCCACACTTACAGACCTAACACATTACTTTATGTCAAAACTTCTGAATAGTGTTCTTTATTTTTCTAAAGCAATACACCTGTAACCTCAACTAAATGCAATAACACCTGAATCTTTTTCTGAATCAAACAATATTAAAAAGTATCTTCCAATCGTTTTATAGCTCGTTTTACAACCGTGGGTAGTGGGGTAATGTTGCGTAGTTTGGTAAAACGTCCGCTGTCAACCCTAATGTCGATTCCTACGACACCACCATTTGGAGCTAGAGAGAATCTTTGAAGTGTTGCATGATGTCTCTGCCCTCAGCAAACATTATTACTTGTGTTGAGTCAGCGTTGTTTGTATACGTGCACTAAGATATATTGGTCGTGCACTCATGAATATGGGGTAAACAATACAACTATAATTCAAATCTGAAATCTAAAAAAAAAATTTGAGCGGATTGAAATCTTTATTTTAATGTAACTGAATTTTTTGACCCTGAGGTAGGGGTTTTGTGCAAGGGATCTATTTGAATTCGAATTCAAGATACCAATAAGTATCTAAATTTTGACCTAACATCCGCTCTTTGCCCCTCAGTCAACCGCTTGTTTGCCCGCCAGTCAACTCTACTCGATTGAATTGATAGTAGGCAATTAGATGCACTGAAGTTTTCGGTCTCGGTTGGGGGTTTCGTCAGAGRCTAAGTGCTGGATGGAAATACGAAAATAAACACAGCTCAACACAGCTGAATAAGTTTCAAAGAGATGATAATTTTTAAAATGTCTAAAGAAATATTTGTATTCCTTGTTTGTTTATTTTTTCGCTTGTCCACTAATGGAAAGTTTTGCTAATGCAAAACCATACCGCTTATAAGTTGGCTACATTTTACTTAAATGACATATTTTAAATAAATGACTTGCGTTTGGGAGCTTCTCCTAAACTCTTAACTTCCAGATGATATACATGGGCATTAGAGAGTTTTAAATGACTTTTTTTTTCCTCCCCGCAAACGGCAAACGTGACCACGTTTTCATAGTTTTCCTGTATTTTACTTTACCTTTTACAAACCTTCTCACCAAGCGCAAATACTCTTTTGGTTTTCTACTACTTGGACTGTTTTTGCGATTCTTTTTCAGTAATTTAAAAGAATTGTTTACTGGTCAACTGACGTTTCACGTTTGCCGTGAACGTAAATCTAAAACTCTCTATTGTTGATTTTGAACGTGTATGTCATTAGCCTGGGCTGTGAGACAGCTCTGTACCAAAACAAGTTTAATGTTATATTTTGCTACCTTTAGTAACATTCTCAAACGATATTCACAAACTTTTATATTTTGGAAATATCTCACGGACAAACTATTACTTTTTTTCTATATTTTTTTCAATAACTATTACTATTATTTTTCCCGGACAAATATTAAGACACGACCAACTACATTGCAGCCACCTCTTTTATTGAGGTTACTTTTTATTTTCACTTGCAGAATTTCCCCTTTTACATTAGAATTTAATTTCCATAATGAATTCCAAATCAACCCACAGGCAGAAAATCCGTATATTTTTATACCTTTTGTAGACT